ATCGAGGGACGTAATCATTCTCCTCTACTTGACATTGGTGAGGCCTCATCTGGAGTACTGTATCCAGGTTTGGGCTCCACACTACAACAAGGATGTGTAAAAATTGGAAAGAGTCCAGCGGAGGGCAACAAAAATGATTAGGGGGCAGGAGCACATGACTTATAAGGAGAGGCTGAGGGAACTGGGATTATTTAGTCTGCAGAAGAGAAGAATGGCGGGGGGGGGTTTGATAGCTGCTTTCAACTACCTGAAAGATTCCAAAGAGGATGGATCTAGACTGTTCTCAGTGGTACCAGATGACAGAACAAGGAGTAATGGTCTCAAGTTGCAGTGGCGGAGGTTTAAGTTGGATATTAGGAAAAACTTTTTCACTAGGAGGGTGGTAAAGCACTGGAATGGGTTACCTAGGGAGGTAGTGGAATCTCCTTCGTTAGAGGTTTTTAAGGTCAGGATTGACAAAGCCCTGGCTAGGATGATTTAGTTGGGGCTTGGACTAGATGACCTCCTGAGGTCCCTTCCAACCCTATGAAACAAAGCCTGGATCCCTATAACCAGAAAGGAGCCATGTGGCCCAAGAATCTAGTTCTTCTCTAGCACCTCTTGTTTTCTCTGACTAAAAAGCTACAACATAATGGAACAACTATCCTGCAGCAGTTTATTACAACCCAAATCTTGCTTTCTTTTACAAAACAGGATTGCATGGGATGAAGCTAGCAGGTGCTGTGGCATTTGGATCTTAGTACGCTGAGTAATTGGCACTTGGATTTTAACTGACTGAAGCACTAAATGCTAAAGGAACTGCAAACCACTGAGCATAATTTATAGGGCTGGGAGATGAGTGCAACAATACTATCAAGTGGTAGTTAGCATTGAGTTAAGACAAAGAGAGACAGCTGTGGTAGAAAGCAGTTAGGCTGCTTAGAGAAATGCAAACTATTCACTGAAAGGGAGAAAATAGAACTCTTAGTCTATGCACAACATGTATCAGATGGCACATGACTAGGATTCATCACAGAATTTGGTCTGGTGGTTGGGTCATTAGTTTCCCTGGCCCAGGAGGCACTGACAGAGTGCAATGTGAACACTGATCCATGCCCCCTCCCTCTCCCCCCAATAGCACTGAGAAATACCAGAAAGACATGATGCTGACACTACATGTGCAGCAGTTTCTCTTCCTACAGCCCTTTTTAAGAGTAATTTCCCCCCAAAATATCACGTTCATTATATATCATGATGTAAAGAGGGTTAAGATAAAGGGAGGGGAAGGGACATAGATTCAGGGTCTACATGAATCAAAGACCTCTAATAAGTCAGTCCAAATTGCTTTGAATTTTCTGGGCATTCACCTTCTGCAGCATCCCAGGGTTTACTTGCTGCAAGTGATCAGCTGTATCAGTGAGCCAGGCATCAGCGCTTGGTGGGGATTGACATCACTTTTTTAGTAACCAAAGCTGGATGATGGAATCATTCCTAGGCCTATAACCAAGAATAAAACTTAAGTTGGGGAGGGTGTGGCTATGACTGCAGGGCTGATAATGCATTTTTTTAACTAACACAAACAAGTGCAAGGAAATAGAATTTCAGTTCAGCTGCCCAACCTCTTTTATTCAAACTTTTGACAAAGACTTATGAGAAAAACCCTTTCAATCAAGGGTCACATTGTCTAATGAATCCTTCACCAAAGCATCACACTTGCTATCCCCCATTTTAGAACAGGACCAAAAATGTGTTTGTAAGCAGAGGGGGTAGCTGTGTTAGTCTGTATTCACAAAAACAAGGAGTTCGGTGGCATCTTAAAGACTAACAGATTTATTTAGGCATAAGCTTTTGTGGGTAAAAAACCCACTTCTTCAGATACAGCTGAAGCAGCAGGTTTTTTACCCACAAAAGCTCATGCCCAAATAAATCTTAGTCTTTAAGGTGCCACAGGACTCCTCATTTTTGTAAGCAGAGTTTAGACTGAATGTACACTTAAGGTACACTGTAGTAATTGGCAGTCTGGGGTGTGATTTACTACCACTGTAATTATAGAAACCCACACTGTTATAAAGGTAATTTATAGCAGATGAGATTATTGTAGTTCAAGATGAGGACTAAACTATGAACTTTTATACCTATTTAACTGTATCCACATGAGGGAGCTGCTGTTTCACATCGTGGATACAACTGAAGCTGCAAAACTTTCAAGGATAGACAAGCCCTTAGGCTTTCATTATTCTTCACTGAGGTCACTTAAATCTGACTACATGCTAAGTGGGGAAGAAGACAGCCAAAAGAAATTTGAATAAGGGAGTACTTGGCTATAGACATTACATGAAGCATTAGGAAGTCCTTCTGTACAACCCACCCTAGGTGTACTAGGCCACAGTGCAGCTTCAAACTCCATCTTGGGTATGTAAACTAGAAAAATAATAGACCTCTGGGCTCAACCTATCACCCAGCCCAACACAACAATGCTCCAATGAGAGATTAAAGCCACCCCTCCAAAAGGGAAGGAGGCAAGAAGCCCGTGACAGTGCATGGGGCTAGCATCTCATTCCTTCTCTCCCTGAAAGGGCTGCTACAGTGCCAAGGAGTAACAACCTTCCAGTGTAGGGGAAGGGTACAAATCTAAGCTAACAGCCTTCCCCCAGGAATAAAGCTGGTAATTGTAGGCTAGATAGAGCAGGGGGAGAGCAATGAGATGGGACTATGCTAGACTGGAAGTTGAACCCATAATGACAAGATGGCCACTTACAGACTAAAGTAAGTGATTTACTTTTCTTGATGCCCCTAAGTCCATGGTGGGAAAAGATTAAGTCTTATTTCCATCACGGTTTACTGTAACAGCCCTATTCTGATCTAACAGCAGCCTGCCCTGAAACCCACCCTAAACTGGTCACAGGTAGCAGAAACCCTTTGAAGAGGCTATTGTGATTGGAAAGGTATAGCCAATCCTTCCACCTATTGCCAC